CAGCTGGACCTGTAGCTCTGACTCCTCTGCCTCCCCATTTTGGGTGCCTCTCTAATTGCCGTCACCAGCATCAGGCTAGTCCCAGTGGAGTGCCAGCTCTTTATTAACTCAGCAACCAGAGGGCGGGCCCTCAAACCCCAGGAGAACTGCTGGACCAGACTGTAACGTTTAGGCTAGACCTGGGGAGAACAGAACAGGACAGAACCATGGTCTGAAGGCAAGATGCAGCTAGACAGCATGACTGACTGCAGCCTGCCCTGTGGCACTCACACAGGTGCCTTTTCAGCATCAGCGACCCTGAAGGGAGGAACGTGCTCGGCAGCCGCTGCCTTTGAATCCCCTTCACTGACTCCCCTTTTTTGCCTCTACAGGAGAGCAGCCTCTCCTACAGTATGACCACTTGTTCGTGAGGCTGGTTCCTCTCCTGAATTCAGTAAAGAAAGAATATGAGTACTTAGGGGACAGGTAATTTGCAGTGAAGGAATTTACAGTGGGTCATTTATGTAAGAACTGGTCCAACGCTAACAAGTGAGCACTATAATAGCTCCTGTATACAATGATGAACTCATAATTTTGTAATTTAATTTTTTTGTATAAAATATTCTCTAATGTCTATGGTTTTACAAATGCTTTAAGATACTACAAAAATCATAAATAAATCCATGCAAGTTTTGGGGGAATCTAGATAACGGGAATGTTGTATTTTATTATTGATAAGACCTCCTTTAAATACTTGTCCCTGGCTATGTGAAGGGACTGGAGGTGTGGCACGTGCTCAGGCTTTGAAGCAAGTCAGCCTGCTTAGAGTCTCACCTCTGCCCTCTGCTCTCTAAGGCCCTTGGCCAAGGTATTTTATCTTCTTTCCAAGCCTTTAATGATTTTATTTGCAAAATGGGAAAAATAATATCTGCCTCTCAGAGTTGTGATTGATTAAATAAGGTATCATATGTATAAAAAATCTAATGCCCTTTCTCCGTTTCTCTTGTCAATGAGTATAGTATATTTTGATTAAATAAAGTAACTTCTCAGAAGATAGCAACAGCAAATATAGCCACCAGTCAATAAGAATTCCACATCTCATCATTTGGATTCATTATAATGATTATGTTAAACAAAGGGTCGATAAATTTAAGGGTCTTAGACAGTTAAATAAATAGATACTTTATTTTTGTTATTTGGGGAGGGAGGAGATCATATAAGTGGACACCTTTATTTATTAATTAATATGTTCATTTATGTAATGCAAAACAGACCAAGATATATACCGTCTGGACTACAGATGTTGACTAGTATTTGTCCTTTGTTCTACTGGAAAGTAGAACATTAAGATTAATTCATCTCTGACATACACAGTAATACCTCTGAATTATTCTCTCTTCTTTTAAATAATATTGTAGGAGTCAATTCATGTTCCTGATCCTGTCATTTCAATAGCAATGAAGCCTTCTAACAAGGTAGGTTTGACTTAATGTTCAGTATATCACAATAAAAACTTGAGCTCCTTTTTATCTGTCTACACAATGCACAGCATCTTTTGATAACCAGCAGTCTTATGGTCTCTGTTTCCTCTTTTGGTATTGAAATCACCTTTTAAATTTATCGGTCTATTAGTAGAAATTACTCCCCAGTATATTTGAAGAAATTGATAGTATTAAGGCCTTCACGAGACTGTGCATTGTAACTCCTTACGGTAGCGTTGGCTCCAGAGTGGGAAGTGACGTCGTAGATTTAGGTCGCAAAGGGATGGTAAAGGGGAAGCAGGTGCGTTTGTCCGAAGTTGGGGAAAGCTCACTGTAAAGGACACTAGAATATTGCAGAGATTGACTGCCTTGTGAATCATAATACATCCCCAGACTTGTGATAGTTAAGTCAGTGTCTGATTATAACATGGAACGCCTACAAACTGTTTTTTTTCACTTTCAGATGTGACAGTTTTATGATTGGATTTGATGTCATTTAGCTTTTTACAAAGCCAAAATTGCTTGAATAGGTTCTGCATTCATATTGCTTGCCACTGGAATTAGTCATGAACTTGAACCATAACTTGTTTAGTTCTTAAGTTGCCTTGACATTCGTAACAATCACCTTCATATGGTATATTGAAATTAACTCATTCATGCATTAGCTGAACATTCTGACCTCTTGTCACCTGGAAACTATCATTTACAGAACATGCTCTGATTTATTGTCTTGTGGATACAGTAACAGCTGCTACTTCATCTATTTTGAGGAATTTGAGATTTTCCAGACCCTTCTCATTATAGAAAAGAGAATGTTGAGATGGCAAGAAACAGTAAATGACTCCATCTCAGAAATCTGAGGAGAGACGAACCGTCCGTCTTGCCACACAGATGCCACAGTTTGTTCCAAGTGCTTTGCTAAATTGTTTGCTTTTCCCTTCAGAATATGCAGGGCTGTAAGTTAAAGATACTATGTTTCTTCACTCCTAAATGCAGCGTTTAGGGAAGGCATTTAAGTGTTGATAATCCTCAGTAACGCAGGGAAATCAAATGCATCAATATCCAAAAGAGTTTTTGGTGTCTCAGGGTTGTCTGCCTCCTGGAGTAAATTAATTTAAATCAAATGATGAAGTCACTGCATAAAGCCAAGACTCTCAATAGTGGGGGCAGGGATGATCTAGTAAGTTGAGGGTATCTGGCTAGCGGAGGGAAAAGGGAAAAGACTTTGGAGATAGACTAACCCAGTATTCAGTCCCAGCTTTGCCCTGCACTAGCTGTGTGGCCTTGAGCAAGTCACTTAACTTCTCTGTGCCTTGTTTCCTCACCTGAAAAATGTGGATAATTCTGTCTTGCAGCATTATGGTTAGAATCAGATAACATATACAAAACACATAGCACAGCTCCAGCCACAGGTGATAGCTGTTAATACTGGTGATTTGGGGCATGTTAGTTTCCTTTTGCTGCTGTAAGAAATTGCCACAAACTCAGTGGCTTAAAACAGCACAAATGTATTATTTTACAATTGTGTAGGTCAGAAATCTGACATGGATCTTAATGGGCTAAAATCAAGACATTGGCAGGGCTATGTTGTTTTCTGGAGGCTCTAGAGGACAGTTTATTTCCTTGCTTCCTTAGATTGTTGGCAGAATTCAGCTCCTTGTGGTTATAGGACTTGGGTCCCCATTTCCTTGCTCGCTGTCAGCTGAGGGCCGTTCTGGCTTCTAGAGGCTGCCCCCCTTCCCAGGTTTGTGGCCCCTTCCTCTTCAGTGCCAGCAGCAGCAAAGTAAATCCCTCTCGTGCTTCAGATAGCTCCTGCCTCTTCTTCCCTCTCCCATCTCTCTGACCTACCCTTCTGCATTCCTCTTCCATTTTTTAAAGGCCCATGTGATTACATTAGGCCCACCCAGATTATTCATGATCATCTCCCCCAGCTTGAAGTCTGCAACCTCAGTCACTTCTGCAGAGTCCCCTTTGCCATGTGAAGTAATATTCACAAGTTTGGGGGGATATGGACATATCCTTAGAGGGCCGTTATTCTGCTTACCACGTATGGAATTACGTCTAAGTAGAATAGAGGTGCATCGCAACACACCCGCGCAGATTGCTTTGAAGGGGAGCCGTCTCAGTGTGGCATTTGCCCTACTGTTGGTCTGAACTGTCCTCCTGAATCTACAGTAGAGTCTTGGTAAACATGCTGATTCCTTTGATTATGTATAGGACTTCTGAAATATAACACAGGAAAACAGATTCTACTTTCTGCATGATGGGCAGTTTTCCACAAATGGACAGTTTTTGTCAATATAATAGGAAAGGGCATAGAGTTAAGTCTTGGACTCTTGTTTTTTCTCTTGGTAGAGAAAGAAAATTCTGTCAGCTGGCTATTCCCTGCTCTCTTGGCTGTGTGGTATCCAAGCTCACATATTAAAGCATGTGTCCTAGGAACTAGATGGTGGATTATTTTTAATTCTTAACTGCTTATGTATTTGATTGCATTCAGTAAAGTTTGGTCAACAATCCCATTGCTTATCATGCTTAGTAAAATGTGTACTGGCTTTCTTTTTTTAAAGAATGATCTGGAAAAATTTTCAAAAGGTATTGGCAGGTTTACAAGAGAAGATCCCACATTTAAAGTCCACTTTGACACAGAAAGCAAAGAGACAGTTGTATCTGGAATGGGAGAATTACACCTGGAACTCTATGCTCAGGTATTAAACAACAAGGAAGTTAATTTAAATTCACTTTATTTATGTCTGTATTTCGTTAAGAGTGAAAGTCAGTAATTCTCAGTCTCACAGTCATAACAACAACAGTGGCTCGCCAAGCTTCACTGTGGTTTGCATCCAGATATGGTGTACTCCTTCCTCTTCTACATGTTACAAATTATTTTGATCTCTAAATCTTTCTATTTGTAAAACATTGTAGACTTCTAGAATCAAGGCTCAGGAGATTTGCAGTAAGACCATCCATCCATCCCCAGGTCATGGTTAGTTGGGTCACGGATATCCTGGCCCCAGCCCCAGGGAGACAACCTGCTGAGAAAGTTGTCCCACCAGTACGCGCTCTCCAGGCCACTTCTTGTCTGTTTTCTTCCCAAGTCAGCACTTGAAGACCGTTATTATATGGATAAAAGAGTGGCTAGATGGGGCCTGTACTTCCCTAGGAAAGGTGTTGTGTTTCTATGAATGAAAACGAAAGATATGTGACTTAGAGTAAAAATTCTGGTTGTGATCATATCTTTGAAGTTGAGATAGAAGAAAATTCTGACAACAGATTCAGATGCTATATAGTGAAATTGCAGTAAGATGGAACAAAGGTGAAGTTTTAGTGGATGGATTACTTGGAGGTAAGTGTAAATTAATCAGTACAAATTAGAATTCATTTATACAAAATCTGTAAAAGCAGGTTGTATTGTTTAACATCATGTATCCTTGTAAGATACTTAAATGATTTAAAACATCATTTGCTTATCTATTTAAATGAATGCTTCTAAAGTAGTTAAGATTCTTAGAGTTTTTCTTCTTTTTTATTTTTTTAATTTAAATATACCAAAACATTATCTTCCCTGCTCTTTTTAGAGGATGGAAGGAGAATACGGCTGTCCTTGTATCACAGGAAAACCAAAAGTTGCTTTCAGGGAGACCATTACTGCCCCTGTCCCGTAAGTATGCAACACGAACATCCTATGAGACGAGAACTGAAGCTTTTTATTATGGGATATACATAGCACTGTTACTGTTATTAAGATGCTTGCACCTCATGGCACTTTATTATAGAAGCTGTATAGTACTGTAATCAAGACATTTGTACTAAGCAACACTTTGGGATTTGTTTGGCCCCTTAAGCTAGATATCAGTGAAGACTGACATACACATCGTTAATAAGCATGTTTACACTTCCTCCAGGGTTAGGGTCTTCATTTATTCCAGTTGTGCTTCCTTGGGCAGACGGCTGCTGTGTTTTACTTTAGTACCATACTGTGGATGCCAGAGAACTTGCATTTGCCAGGGAATAATCTCCTGGAAGCAAAGGAAACTAATGCTATGATAAAATTCAGAAAACAGAGTTGGGCTTACATTTTATTCGAGACAAAACAGTCCTCATAAAGAATAAAGGAAAACAAGTTAAACTGCTACAAGTATGATATACTTCAACCTGGTGTCTATTTGAATTTACACGAATTCTGATTTAAAGTCAAAATTAATAAGACATACTGTGGCTACAAAACTAGTCTCAATTTTCAAATGAAGGCACATGATACTTCACCTGAGATGGAATGTCATGAAGTAGAATGGTATAGTGTAACTCAATGAAGTCATCATTTCTTTGCTATAATAAAAAAATAAAAACCTGCTGTTTAAAACTTAATATCATTGGCAAAAATACTTTAATTTTAAAAATCAGGTTCATTAGTAGATGATTATAATACTTCCACTTAAGTAAAAATAAAATTTGAATGTCATAATTTATTTAGCCTGACAGAAAAACTGTTGTCTTATAAATAAGTTTTCTTTCAAACTACATTTTAAAATCATGAGTTTTCATTTGTTACTCTAAAAATCATTTACCCTTTCTGTTTGGGGTTCTTGTTTTTTGGGGGTTTTTTTGAGGAAGATTAGCCCTGAGCTAACTACGGCCAATCCTCCTCTTTTTGCTGAGGAAGACTGGCCCTGAGCTAACATTCGTGCCCATCTTCCTCTACTTTATATGTGGGACACCCGCCACAGCATGGCTTTTGCCAAGTGGTGCCATGTCTGCACCTGGGATCCAAACCGGCGAACCAGCAAACCGGCGAACCGCCGGCCACTGAGAAGCGGAACATGCGCACTTAACCACTGCGCCACCCCGCAGGCCCCGCTGTTTGGGTTTCTAAGTTGTGGTAGCTATTTAAGAGCATTACAGTCTGTAGTTCGTCATTTAAGATTCCTTAATGTTTCAGTTGTTCACAGAAGCATCATTTAAGGGATAAACTACTGAAATGAGTGTTTACATTAAAGGAAACCAATTTTGTAATAGAAATTCTTTTAAAAAAATGAAAATAGTAAAATGTAATGAATGCGGTTATCTGACTTTGTCATTAAAGCTTTGATCTGTGCTGCTTCTTGCTTTGGGCATATAAAGTATTTATACCACTAGCTCCACAGAAATATTGCATCCACATAGTTTAAAACCACGATTATCAGAGGCCGGCCCCATGGCCGAGCGGTTAAGTTCGTCCGCTTTTCTTTGGTGGCCCAGGCTTTTGCTGGTTCAGATCCTGGGTGGAGACATGGCACTGCTCATCAGGCTATGCTGAGGTGGCGTCCCACATGCCACAACTAGAAGGACCCACAATTAAAATATGCAACTATGTACTGGGGAGATTTGGGGAGAAAAAGCAGGGAAAAAAGAAGATTGGCGACAGTTGTTAGCTCAAGTGCCAATTTAAAAAAAAAAAACAATCATCAGAGATCTGCTCTCCTTACACAGGCTCTTTAAGGCTTATAATGGACGTATCAAAACCAGCCCGAGACTCCCAGGGGCAGCACAAGCTCCTGCGGCTTCTTTGGTTAACAGTGATTATAAATGTGACCCCAGGGTCAAATAGAAGTATACTATTCTCTCCTTACAGCATCTTGAAGTAATCCTTTCTTTGAATATATCAACAAAGACTGTCCTTTAAAGATAAGGTAAAAATCAGTAAGGTTCCTTACATGTTGGATCTTAATAGGTAAAGATACATAAGATACATAGCCTGAAGCAGTGGTTAAACCCTTCTGCTGAGATTTTCCTTAATGCTTTCATGAAACTACTAGCACTGTCTTGTACATATTTTGCATAAAAACGTGGCTTGAAATTCATAATTATGATTGTATAGGCTCTGGTACCTGGACCACTTACTCAGTTATTTGAGGCTGTAGTACCCCTATGGGAATCTTGTAACCAAGGTTGATGTCTTCAAAAACGCATTAGAGAAAGGCTGTTTCTTAAAGTGCCACTGTAATATTCACGTTGGGTATTTGGTGTCACACTCTGAGTTGTAAGTGACTGTCCTGCCTCAAGTGCCCATAGGGATCTAATAAGTGGTCGCAAAAGCCTGCAGAGAACGTGCTCCAGCTGCCTGGAGTTTGTCAGCAACGAGCTGACACCGGTCTGCTGGAGAGGCCTGTTCTCCCAACGGAGCTCACTACAACTGTTGGTTGTGGTTTCTTTACAGTATTTTCCTTGTTTTCCATTAGATACTACTGGTTGACATAGTTTTTTCTTTTTAACCTCTTAATAAAGATAAAATCAAAGAATTTATTTTTATTTCTTTAAGGTCCAGAAAGAGGCAGTTCAGAATAGTTATACCAGACGTAAATATTGTAAATTATTTCCAATAATTGCTTGGAAATTATGACTAAATAGATTATAAAAGAAAATTACATATAGCAAGCTTCACAAATCCATGCCAATATTTTTGTTCTGGCTGAGCCGTAGGGAAAACATGCAGCCATGTGTCACAGCAGCTCTGGCACCACCAGCTCTCGGTGGAGGAGCGAAGCAGACATGGTCTCAGTATTGCGTGGCTGCAGTAATTTGACCAAACTTGGGTTGCCAAGGGAAATAATCTATATTAGGCTGAGCACAAAAACTGAATGCCGAATTATCTCTGACTCCAGACTTCACTCTCTTGAAACTGCAGCTTCACGTTCTCTAGCCGTCATTATAACTGACCTCTCTTTCAAAATACTAGGTCTTGAATACAAAGTAACTAAAGGGGCGCTATTTATCCAATCATGAATTATAACACTTTCAGTAAATATTAGCCCTGTTAATAGTGTATTTTATAGAAATTACTTACCACTTGCTTGACAGTTTGAATTTTTACCATTTTATACCATGTGTTTTCAGTAGAATTCTGCCATATTATATAACCACAGGCAACCCAGGCTAAATGTCGAACTGGCTTCATTTCTGGAGATACGTTTCCAAAATTGTCTAGTGAAGGAAACATTTTTATGGTAAATGGAATTATTTTATACATACAGTATTAACCTCTTAAAAAAACCTAAATTCTAAATCTTGTCATAGTTTCCTTGAAATGTGTGCAGAAAATAATTAAGCCATGGATCTATAAAGTTCCAAGGCCTTTTTTTGTTTAATTAGATTGGTAATGAATATTTTTGCAAAAGCCAGTATATTTCCAACATTATGTTAACATAAATTTTGAGCATAGATAATTGATATTGATCTTAAAGTTGAAAAAATATTTTTCCATGGCATATTTATGTACCTGGAATATTTTGTGCTTCTAGTGGTTCCTCCATGGACTTGAGTCTTTGATAAAATGTGTTATCTTCTTCATCTGGGTTCTTTCCGATTTCTCCTTCAAATGTGAAGTTGACTTCTGGTGCAGAATGTTGTCCTGTTGGAGGGTAAAGTACTTCTGCTGTGCAGTCCACTGTAACTTGCTGTGTGAAACATTTTGCAGATGATCTTTACGTGTAGATGGCCATCCATTACTAATTATTGTTCTTTGAGATAGAACGTTTAAGGCATTGGCCCGCTATTGGTGTTGTTTCAGACCTGACTTCGGAGTAACATTCCAGAGGTATCTAATGGGGATGGCCTAATACTTTTCTTAGAGGTATCTAAAAGAGATTGCTTATTTTACAACTTAGAAGGCCTCATAATCCTATAAATTCATCTTAAAACTTTGAATATATTTCAGAATTAATGGGGTATCCATTTGCAAGGCCAGATTTTAGTCTGACTTTATATACCAACTCCAGACGGGTTACTTTTTAAGTCTTTCCGTTACTCTTCCTCTCTACTCCTGAAATAACACAAATCTTCTCAAGCTCAGATACAGCAATCTGTACCTAGATGTAAATGAGAAGATTGTAGCATTGGTTCTGCGTGGTAAAGACGAGTGTCTAGCAGCTCAAGTGCCTTTTAATGAATCTCCTTATGTTAGCCTATATCTCTTCTGAATTATGCTCAACAAAAGGGCAAATTTTTTTAATTTCAAGATGGTTATGGTACGAATTGCAGTTCCTTTTAAGTTTGTTTCATTAATAGTTTGATAGGTGTGTAATTTTTAAACATTTCCCTGCTCCATTGCTGAAAGATTCTTATCTGAACACGGTGCTATTAGTTGGCCATTCTAATACTCATAAATATCTAAAGCACTTGCTTTTTTTAAGTAAAAGAAACCAAAAACAGAATGAGAAAGGCAGACAAAAAAAGTGATGAGAGTAATATTAGGCATGAGTTCAGACTGCCCAATAAGTATATAACATTTTTAAAGGGAATTTATTTGAACTGAAGTATATAGAGTCTGTTTTCTAAATAGCTCAATAGAAATACTTCATGTATCTCAGAATATACAAAAAGAGTAAAAACTGACCCTTGTATGATATCGTTTATTTCGAGGCAGGGATTTCACAACAGCTTTAAAAAAAACCCCAAATTCTATGATTTGATCAGCAAAGGTGCTCTGGAAGATTTAGAATCAAATTTTATTTAATAATAAAGGAGGTTCACTTACTTTTTGGATAATTTCTTCCACAGAAAATTTAAGGCGATACTTATGTCCTCTTCTTGGAATATCCTAAAATTAAGAAAATGTGGTGAGTTATTATAACAATAACGCAATTCTTTGCATTGTTAGAAGAACCCATTCTCATTTGGTTGGGCGGCTGACTGGGAGGGGTAAAATGATTAGAGCCTTAGACCTTGAAAAATGCATTTCACCGTGTATGTAACATCTGAGTTAGCAGGTTCTCTATCAGGTTTATTTTGGATGAGAACAGAAGGGGGGGGATAAAAAGCATATAGAAACAAAATGGGTTACAAATTCACTTTTCATTCATCAGAGGACTTCAATCTCTGGGGTCTGTGATTCCTAACTTTCTCTACAGAAGAAATTTTGAAACAGCCTTTTAATTCTAAAGGACAAATAAACAGGATACACCGTCGGAAAAGATTTTTCATAAAGTCCTTGTGTACCCTCCAGATAGTGTTCCGGGGAGCCGAAATTAATTCCACTGAGGCAGATTAGTGTGGAGTGGTGAGAGATGTTTAGTACTGTTTTTACTTGTATGTTGGTGGACCTGCAAAAAGAGACTTTAACAAATTTTATAACAGTAAGACAAACATTTAGGGATTTCACCTTTCAATCAAGATACAATTGAGAGTTTATGCTTCATTATGCTGTCTGATGCAGTTTTCAAATAACACCTCCTCCCTGTCAGCGCTTAAAGACTGTAGCAGTTAAACTTATGTCGGATAAATAAGGGAGGACCTCAGAGCCCTTAGAATTTAGTAAAATGACAGCGAACGCAGTGACTGCTGAGGCCTTAAGCATTTAATTCACTCCTTTAGCCGGAGGAAGCACGTCTCTTACGGAGTCAGCGGCAGGAGTGTTGGGGTGGTTCAGGCGAAGGTTCGGGCCACGATGCTTTTACTCTCGGATTTTGGTTGTCACTTTCTCCTGCTGTTTCTCCCCCTTCATTATGGTCAAAGCGTCTGATAAGGGTTGGTCTTAAAATGTAAGCAACGAAGACTCGTTCGCAGGACAGGAGCTTTTGTAGGTGCGGACTGGAGTAGTGGGGGAAGCGCAGGAGCGGCGCCCGCAGGTCTCGCCGGGGAGAGGGGAGAGGGGAGAGGGCCGCCCCGCGCCGAGAGCAGTCCCCTGGCCCGAGGGCCGTGGAGGCCGACTCGCTGTGTCCGCCCGTCCGCCGCGGACTCACCTCCCTGCTGGCCTGGCGGACGGTCTGCACCAGGAACACCCTGTGGGGGCTCCCCTGCTGGTAGTTGATGCAGTTCTCCGCCACCGAGGCCGCCTTGGCGGCGGGGTGCTCTGTCGGCGGGATTTCCATCTCGGGCAGCGGCGGCCGGGCGGCAGGCTGCTGGAGCTCGGCGGCCGGGCGTCGGCTCCTCCTCGCTCCCCGCTCGCCCCTCCCTGCCCGCTGCCCGGAGTCAGGAAGCCGCCCGCCTGCTCCCGGCTTCCGCGTGCCGGAGCCCCTGGTCCCGGCGGGAGCGGCGTGCGGGCGGGACTTCGTCCTTCCTGCTCCCAGCCTGGCCCGCAGTGCGGGGCGGGGCTTTCCGGACTCCGCCCCTCGGGGCGATGCCCCCGGCCCTGCAGATTCCGCCCGCGACAGGAGCGCGGCTCCCTTCCACGCCACGCACCGTGACGGGCGCCGGGCGAAGTGCGGGGAAGCGCCGGGTCCTGCGCGGTTCCCATCCCTTCGTTTCCCGCCCGTCGAGGGCGTCCAGGAACAGGCTTGCTCATCCCCGACTTTTGTAGGGTTGGACCACTTCTGACCAAGAGTCTGCGACTGCGAACTGTGGCATTAGTTTGGAGGATTATGTAATTTGGATCAGGAGAGAGACAAAAATGCACCTGCAGCCCTCTCGCCCTTTACTGATCTTAGAAAGATGAGGTTTTGATATAACACCATGCTTCCAAGTTTCTGATTCACTGAAATTTTTACTTTCAAATAAGTACTTTAAACTTTCCAAAGCCCTACATTGAGGTAGCTTCTAACAAAAGCAGGATTTTTAAAGCTGCTTAAGCAAGCGCAGACTTTCAGCAGGCCTTGCGTTTCCACTCTCTAGATCTCCTCATTACCTTCTTGTGTCACCTTTAAAGGAACTGCTGGGTTTGCTCTGGATCAGGAAGCTAAGGTTCCTTGTCGTTACGCGTGTGACCAAACTGTCCCTTTAGCTTGTTGGCTTGGAAATAAAGATTCTTTGCTCTTTTTCTCAAAATGGAGTTTTGAAGGCTCTTTGAGTAGACATATGTTGTGGTGATGCTTTTTTAAAAAAAGTTAACAAAAATGTATTTGTAATATGTTGTTTTCCTCAGAAACCCTTTTCAATTTATTTGTAAATAAAGTCTTTCTATCGAGGAAGTAGCTTTTTAAAAATAGTAAGCACTAAGGCATTTCCCATCCTTTCTAGTTATATTAGCCAACAACTGTCAAGTCACTGGAGGGTGAATGGGTTAGTTTTTCTTCTGAAGGCTTTTTCTAAAAGATTGAAGGTTTTTTGCGGGGGAGGGTGGTGACTCATTCATCCTTTGGCCAACCTTTTAGGTTGTCATTGTGTGTATGTGTGTGAATTGTTTGAATTATGTGCTCCTTTCATAGTGTCCAGGAAAGAGTGGCTGAGTACATTCTGATGACGCAGAAAGAACTTTTTGCTGCTAATGAAATTTTATTTTTTTGGTGAGGAAGATTAGCCCTGAGCCAACATCTGTGCCAATCTTCCTGTATTTTGTGTGTGAAACGCAGCCACAGGGTGGCTTGGCAAGCGGTGTGTATGTCTGCGTTCTGGATCCAAACCTGCAAACCCTAGGCCACTGAAGCAAGCCCACGAACTTAACCGCTATGCTACTGGGCTGGCATCTGATAATAAAATTTTAAGGTTTCACAATTAGCTGGTTAACATCTCCTGTGTTATTACCAGTTAGAGTTGTGAGAAGTACAATATGTGAGCTTGCTAGATGAAGTCACCATTTTGAAGCTTTGTGAATACAATTATCATCTCTGTAGATCAAGACTGATAACATGTTATGACACATCAGGCATTTACTAAAAGTACACATACCGATTTAGGTTCTTTTTAAAATAGAATTATTACACTAAAAGAAATTAACTGCCTATTTAGGTGTTAAATAAACTACATTAAGAGAATCTCATTCCTGTATTTGAGTCCTTGAAATCTTAGTTGCTTGCTAAGGCTTCACAAATGGTTAGTCAAGAGATCATTATCCTTAAACTTGAGTATGTGTGGATTACCTTGAAAGTAACAAAATTATTATGAGTCTCTGGCATCAGGTAAATTAAATTGTTAGAATTTTATATAACTATATGAACATAAAACTAAGTAAAAATGCCTCTGGCTTGCAACTTTGGTAGGACTATAAAATCAAAAGAAATCTGCAAAATAGAAACAATAAAACCAACACAATTCAAATTAACATCAATTTTAATGAGTCATGATGTTTTGCCAAAACTAAATTCTGCAGCACGCCAGTGGTCTGGCAGAGGGCATGGGTTCTTTTACCTTCAGCTTTCCTATTAGCTGCCTACCAAGTGATGTCTTCCTTCTTCCACCTCTTCTCTACTGGAGCTACTGTAAAATCTGTCTTTGTGCAGCGCCCCCTAATGGCTTTTGAAGTGAATGCATTATTTGCAGGTTAAGTTAGTTTATATTTTTATTAGCCTTCTAGAAAAATGTTTGATTAAGAGCATTGGTTTTGGGGCAAATCCTGGCTCTGCCACTTAATATCTTTATCACATCTGGCAAGTTACCTAGCTTCTCTGACCCTCAGGTCTCACGTCTGTAAAATGGTGATAAAAATAGTACCTACTTCCTGGGTTTGTGGTAAAGAACAAGTAAGACAATCCATAAAAGTGTTTGACACAAGCCTGGCACATAGGTGTTTTGTAATTTGGCACCCAGTTGATTGTGAACCCAGCCACGGTCCCTGAAACTGCACGGGTGACTTGTTTGTGAGTTGGCCTCCAGAGCAGCACTGTCTGGTAGCACTTTGTGCAGGGGTGGAAGTGTTCTGTCCTTGTGTCCCCTACAGGAGCCACTCTCCATATCTGCCTGTTGGCCCTTGAAATGTGACTGCTGCAATTGAATTTTTAATTTTATTTAATTTTAATTAATTTAAATGTGAATATCCGTGCTTAGTGATTGCCATATAGAGAGCACATCTCGAGTATGTTGTATAGATGTTATATTGTTGTCAAATCGAAAACAAAATTTACAGTGTCCCAGAGAACTCGTGCATCCCTGAGGATATGCCAGCGGGCTGCGCTGTTGGGATCCGGTCAGTATCCTGCAGGGACTTGGCAGTTGCTTCTCTTCTGCTTTCCTTCTCAGTTCTGAGAGCTGTTTTTCCCCTCCCGGGAAGTTAGCCTTTCGGCAGTTTTTCCCTTGCCCATCCTGAAGTCTTGCCTTCTGGAAGATTGTTGAAACGCACTTCCTCAGGCATGTCACACTTGGCCTCTTTATGAAGTCTGCTTGTTGCGAGCTGGCAGCTCCTACCAAAATTGATACTTTTGTGGATTTTTTTGAGGAAGATTAGCCCTGAGCTAACATCCGTGCCCATCTTCCTCTGTTTTATATGTGGGACGCCAGCCACAGCATGGCTTGACAAGTGGTGTGTAAGGTCCACACCCGCGATGGGAACTGGGGAACCCCAGGCCACTGAAGCGGAACGTGCAAACTTAACCGCTGTGTCCCCCCCCTCCCCCGGACCGGCGCCTGATAGTTACTTTCTGAACACCGCTCGGAGATCTGTCTGCAGGATCTCACACTCATTAATGTCCATTTACCTGCAGTTGTCTGCAGAAAATTTGAAAGCAGCTGGCCTCTTCCATTTTAACAGTCTTGAGGAAGGTTTCAGTTTAAAGGAAGAAATGCTTTGTGAACAGTAGATACTCAAGAAATGTTTTTTCAATGAAGTAGTAGCTTATGTTTACGTATGTTAAATATGTATGCAAAATGCTTATTCTGTCATACTTCTGTTGGCGGTAGTGGTTTGACGTAAACGCCTGTGCCTATATATGTTTCTATTTGAATGGCTTTCTTATGTTACTCATTTTGAGGTGTTCATTATTCCACTTGAAGCTCCCTGCTCTTGAATTGTTCCAGTCTGTGATGTCCAAGCAGTAAATCAAATAGGCACTATCTGAATAAGTTACCTGCGGGGCGCCTGCTTTCAACTAACTGTCCTCAGTGTAGAGACTGAAGGAAGGAACACTGCGTGGCCAGGAAGGGAGGCGTTCCAGGAGAAGTGGGCAAGCTCTTCAGAGTGCCAGAACAAGAACCGTAGACTGACTGACTATTTTAGTCACTCGACTTTTACTTTTTTCTACTTGTGAATTTCGGAATTCGCAGAATTAAAACCATGGATTACTTTGGTGGTGTTCCCCACCCCCACTTCCAAGTAAGAACAGAAAGGAGAGGATTCCTTTTTAAATAAATTCTACAATAAAATTTCATAGCAAAGCTATCATATTCAAAGGAAAAAGTTAAAATGATGAAATGTGGCTTTTCACTTAAATTAGAAGTTATTTCGTTTTGGTAATTACATAATGTTATATTGATTTTGTTTTTTCTTCTTAAATCACTTTCAGGTTTGAGTTTACACATAAAAAACAGTCAGGTGGTGCAGGTCAGTTTGGAAAAGTGATAGGCGTTCTGGAGCCTCTGGACCCAGAGAACTACACTAAGTTGGAGTTTTCAGATGAAACATTCGGGGCAAATATTCCAAAGCAGTTTGTGCCTGCTGTAGAAAAGGTAAAAAACAACAACAAAAAACTGTCTTGCATTTTTTTTTTAAATCAAAAACAGTTTATTAGGTGTTAAATTACATTTCCATCACAGTGTCTTCCATGATTCATTTTAATTACGGTCCTGCTTCTTTATCTGATTGTCCAGCTTTCCATCTGATTTAGAATCTTTAATTCGTTAAGTTCAAGAGCTATAAATATATGCTGTGACAATGATGGGAAACCATTCTGTTTCTTAATCATAGTTATTCTATTTCTCTTGATAAATTGAAGCCTCTTCGTTGATTGTAATCAGCAGTTGAAATTTGTAGTCGTCGTTAGGGTCTGTGAAAGTTTTAGGGGCACTGTTGTAGTTGGATAATCATTTGTCACGAGTGCCCACACTTGGGTGCTGCCAGCGTCCCTGCGCCTGATCAGCGTGCTCTTTGGTCGGTCGCGGTGTGCAGAGCCAGTTTCTTCGTTTGTAAACCAGCAATAAGATACTTAAGCTTGAACCTGTCGCTGCAGTGAGGCTCCGGTGAGCTGCTGTGACATTCCTGGGAGCCGCGACGTGCTGTGTACACGTAGGGCTGGTGTGTTGGCTCTGGAGGTCCCTGCTTTCAGGAACGTTGTAAACCTTTAGCAACTGTCTGTTCTTATAGATTGGGGTTTTCAGTGTTTTTATTTTAACCTGTTAACTTAGAAATCTTTATTAACAGATTATAATTTTGGTTTCAGTGGTGGTAGCATTTTTTGTGATTAGTATATTTCATTCGTTATACTTTATTTCAGGACAATATTTTGTTCACACACTTTTAAATTATCTTCTGTTCTCCATGATAAACAGAGGTGAGGGAGAGCTTAGATGTTCACATACAGAGTTTACAGCTTTGAAATCTCAGAAATGTACCGTATGTGGAGCTGTATGATTGTCTTGCCAAGAAAAACTCACTTGATTTGTAGGAGCTCTACAAATATTTAAGTGATTGAACGAAAAAGAATTGCAAACTTATCAAATTGTGTTCTTTAATATGTATAGTTTATTGTATATCAGTTATACTTCAATGAAGCTGTCTTTTAAAAAAAGAATTGGATTTGGAAAACTGAAATTACTTTTTTAATTCCAGCTCTTACTGACGTTTGTGTAACACTAAAGTAATCTGCCGATGAGACAAAGCAATAATAGGTATGTGGCAGGAGCTCAAGACACAGCTGTTGAGTAAACGCCAATTTTGTTGGAGGTTTGCTTTTAGGGTGTTCCTTAGATCTGCCTTTCCTCTGTTTCCTCCTTGTAAAATTAAGATCATGCTGTCTCTGTAATGGGTTATGAGAGTTAAGGAAGTCCTGAAGATGAGATTATGAGAAAGCGGTTATTAGCACTTCCAGCATCACTTCCAGACCAGCTCACACTTTAAGTAATATGCTTTTCCAAGGGATTGCTCATCTCAGTGCCACAATGATAAAACTTAAACAGTAAAGCTGTTCAACTTTCTTAAGTTCCTTTCTTGAGGAGTGAAATATAGCATTCATAAAAATGTTAAACTTGTGGGGCTGGCCCCGTGGCCGAGTGGTTAAGTTCACGTGCTCCGCTGCAGGTGGCCCAGTGTTTCATTAGTTCGAATCCTGGGCGCGGACATGGCACTGCTCATCAGACCACGCTGAGGCAGCGTCCCACATGCCACAACTAGAAGAACCCACAGCGAAGAATACACAACTATGTACCGGGGGGCTTTGGGGAGAAAAAGGAAAAAATAAAATCTTTAAAAAAAAAAAAAAAAAGAAATATATTTAAAAAAAAAAAAATGTTAAACTTGTGAATACTAAAATGGGGGAGAGGAGCTTCTTGGTAATTCATCTACAAGTGAAATCCACTTACTCCAGAAGGTGTGTTCATTCATTAACAGGGGTTTTTGGATGCCTGCGAGAAGGGCCCTCTTTCTGGTCACAAGCTCTCTGGGCTCCGATTTGTCCTGCAAGATGGAGCACATCACATGGTTGATTCCAATGAAATCTCTTTCATCCGTGCAGGAGAAGGCGCGCTTAGACAAGGTACTCTGTGTCCTGGCTCCTGCCGCATCACTGTATCTGTTTCCCCTGGTGGACCATCAGAGCCTCAGAAGGCAGCGCTGTGTTTTGGTCTTCTCCCCCGAGAACACTAGGCAGCACACCAGGGAACGTGGAAGGCCCTGGGCAAATATTTATAGAATCAGGGGCCGGCCCCATGGCCGAGTGGTTGAGTTCTCGTGCTCTGCTTCGGCGGCCCAGGGTTTCGCTGGTTCGGATCCTGGGCGCGGACATGGCACTGCTTTTCAGGCCATGCTGAGGGGGCATCCCACATGCCACAACTAGAAGGACCCACAACTAAAAATATACAACTATGTACCGGGAGGCTTTGGGGAGAAAGAGGAAAAATAAAATCTTTAAAAATATATAAATGTATTTATAGAATCACAGTGAGGATAGATTACTGTCTTCTCTTTCTTGCAAAATTAAAAGCCTACTTTGTTCTCTCCTAAATTATCTGATGTTTTTCGTATGTTTAAATTAATGGATAATCTGTCAGTTCTATTTTTAATAGAGAAGATAGAAATGCTCAGAATTCTGAGAAAATTTTAAAGAAACATTAACTACAGTAGTGCTATTTTTGGTGACTTACTCAGATGTCAGGAAATCCATAAATTTGTAATTTTTTCATGTATGACATTATAGGCTTTTAGGCATTTTGAGAATGGCAAAGTATTTTGAAAGAATTCAGTAAACCCTATTCCCAGTGCAGACCTCTTGCCAAACTGCTAAAATTGTCAACCTTTTTCACACAGAGTAATATGTGTATTAAAACCCTGATGAACCAGAACCCTAAGTAACTGCAAATACATCTGATTTATTGCTTTTAAGAGAGGAAAGCAAATGACAACACAGCAGTTTGACATCAGGCTTTTTAACAAAGGAACTTCCGAGTTGTGTCCCGAAGCCAGAAAGGTCCCTCTCTGTCGTCTCTTCCACGCCCGTTACATGGTGATTCATTAGGATGCCCAGAAGTGTCTCTACACAGGGGAAGGATATGATGATTCAAAAACATTTCAGAAATATTTCTGTCCAAGAGGGTCAAAATGGACAGTAGAAAATTAGGTAAATCGTAATACGTTTCCTAAGCATTCTGTAAATCAGGATTTTATTGATTCTGTGTGAGTTTTGGACTTGACGTTGTTTTTGGTCTGTTTGCATCTGCGATCAGATGTGGGGCAGTGGTTGGAGGATGTTTCTCATTCCTTGGGCAGGTTGCTAGTTCCTTATTTTCCTTACCTGCCTCACTTACAGTGATGGGAGCCGCAGTGACCTGTGTTAGTTTCTCAGTTGTGAGAGGGGAGGGGCTGCTCCATCTCCTTCATGTGAGCTGTCTCACTTACAGTGATGGGAGCCGCAGTGATCTGTGTTCTAGTTTCTCAGTTGTGAGAGCGGAGGGGCTACTCCATCTCCTTCATGTGAGCTGCCTCACTTACAGTGATGGGAGCCGCAGTGATCTGTGTTCTAGTTTCTCAGTTGTGAGAGGAGAGGGGCTGCTCCATCTCCTTCATGTGAGCTGCCTCACTTACAGTGATGGGAGCCGCAGTGATCTGTGTTCTAGTTTCTCAGTTGTGAGAGGGGAGGGACTGCTCCATCTCCTTCATGTGAGCTGTCTGTTAAAACTGCATTGGGAATCTCTGATCTGGAAATCTTGTCACAGTCTGAAGACTGTGTTAATAGAAAAAGGGGAAATAAAATCACAAAGAACATAAGACTTTGTTAGGCATAATTCAGGTTAAAACACCTGCCTCTTGCCCTCTAGGTGTTTAACACTTTAATAAATCTAAACTGACAAATTAGTTGTAATCACTTCATATTCCTTTTTTCAGCTTTGTGGAGGTATAATTGACAAATAAAATTATAAGATATTTAAAGCATACAATGTGATGATTTGATAAATGTATATACGTTGTGATACTTTTTTTAAAAACTACAGTTAAAACAAATTAGAAATCGCCAATTGTTCCATAGTGGTTCTTGACTGGAAATAGATATCTTTCTTGGAGATAAAAGTTATGTAAAGTGAGGTAGTTGGTGTAGTTATCAATTAACAATGAGCCTCATCGTTTTTAATTGCTCTTAGATGAAATGTAAACAAACATGGATGTATACGCCCATAATATACACACACATATCCATGAAAAAAGTCTGTATGTCTGTGAATATTAACTAAACAGGTGAATATGTACCATTTAATTTTTAATTATTTAAGTGTACAAATATTATTAAGTATGGTTAGTTGCCTGGCAGGTGTGCAAAGGAAAAGCACCAGATAATTGAATTGAGAAGTGTTGAGTTGTTTTGCCAGATAAACAGTACAAATAAGCAGGGTGCTAGCATGAAAAATGAATTACTTTGCTGTTTCTTCATCTGATTCTTATTTCTCCATGACTGAAAGACTAGAGAGTAAAGAGGTGAAAGGAAGTTTTTGCCAAGCTCAGTAAGAAAATCAGCTTTTCATGCATATACCTCCCTTGAATGCCATATCAGAGTTTTAGGGTGAAAATGTTAATAAATGAGCTTAGTAGCACAATAGCTTATAACTTATCAACTATTTTCTATTGTCAGAGTTGGAGGAAAAATAGTCCAAATTCTCATGTATTTTTCATTAAAAAGATGAAAACTGGAACTATTTTCAGTCACGATTTAAACTTTGTGCCTGAGATTAATCAGTGATGTAGCTAAAACTGAAATGTGAAATTGAATGTTCTTTCTGGTCATGTTTCACTTAGGGATGTGACTGTTGCCGTCATTTTCTCTGGCCAGTTTTTAGAAAGAGCACTATGCTTGGTCTCCCCAGAAACGTTGGACCTGTAAGCCACTCTACTAAAGCCCTACCCAGAGGCATGGTTAGCTCATGTAACTCGACAGTGCCCCGTTTGCCATCGCTTGCCCCCATTGCATGATGGGCTTTGAGTTTGTATCCTGGCTCTACTCCATGCTTACTGTGTGGAAATCGGGAAGTCATTGGAACTTCCCCCCGGCTGCTTAGAGACACTAATTCCACAATATTAAATGAGAATGTACTTGAAAACACTTGCACATACCTATTTGGGCATAATGGATGCTAATCCCTCTTCCCTTCATATTACCTTTGACCTAGCACTGTGCCTTGCCACACATTCCCTGACCTTATGTCTCAGAGGGGTCATAATAACATTTATTGATCAGTTATGTGCTCTGTATTATGCTGAGTACGTGAATGATCATATTTTGTCTTCACAGTGACCTTACAGTTGAGAAAATTGGGACTCAGAGCAGTTAATTGAATGGCCCGTGGTTATACGCTAGTTAGTGGTAGGGCTGAGAGTTAAACCCTAGACCGGAGTCCTCGCCCTTGACCACCTCCTCACACAGCCTCTTCAGCGCCTGGCCTGGTGTTAGCAACGTTCTTCCTGCTGGGCTGAAACAGAAGCATTACCACCTCTACCCACCACTTTAGGCTCAAAAGGTCCTGTGATGATGTTGGTATTTTTACTTCCTATCTTACGAAGCTACAGACCACGTGGATCTGCTTGAGGGAAAATTGTTTTTAGGACTTGGCTGCCGTGTGACTGTTGAAAAACTGCAGGGTGAATTAGCTCTGGGCTTTGTCACCTGGAATGGGGTTAGTGGAAAGCATGGATAAGGGCAGTCTTGGGAAGTGAGTGAGGAGGTGGATTTAAGAAGGAAGGGAGCAGGGTGAGGGAGCATGAGACTGAGAACTGAACAGGCTCCTCCACAGTTAGGTGACGGGCACTGTGCCCTTGGCGCCTGCCTTCGCTTTAAATCTGACCCCTTCGCAGTCCAGCTCTCCTAGATGGCTGACCTGCTGAGAAGACTGGACAATGGACAACTAGATCTGCGTGTGTCTGCTGGCGTCCCCCTCTCTGGCTGCCTTCGTCTATATTAATTGCGTTCGTTAGAGCCCAGGAAGCCCTGCCCTTGTGATAACCCAAGAAGTTCCAAGCAGGAGAGCTGTAGCTAGAGTCTAGGGTTGTCAGTGTGCTGCTTTAGAGGAATGCGCAGGTTCTGCAGGGCGCAGCTCATGAAGCTTAGGAGCCTGCAAAGTTCAGTTATTCCTCTTTTTGGAACAAAATTCACTAATTAGAACTAATTGGTCACAGGTAGGTCTGAGCTAGGATACGATTTGAATTAGAAAATATTTCAAAGGAATGCAAATATGTTAAATGGCTGTTCTGATAATTATACTTAAGCTAATAGTGTCATTAGAAGTACTTTAAGAATATACAAGAATGATTGCTATTTGGTTTATTAGACACAATGTCTTTGTTTTGTAGGTGAGGAAACTTGAGATTGAACAGATGGTGTTTTTCCAAAAGGCATATAACTTGTTAGAGGCAGAGCAGAAACTAGAAAGTTGGTTTTCTAGTTCTCTATCCGGTGTTGAAATTGTTCAGTGTAGACAAGGAAAGACCGATCTCAGGCATGACTTGATTATCATCTCCAAGTATATGACGGTGCCCTCAGCCCCACTCCCGCCCATGATAAAAAGTTGTTGTCTTACAGTTCAAAATAACTGTCTGCCAGGAACCAACAAGAAAAGATGGGTTTGCCCTGGTCAAAGATTTAACAGTTTGTGTCTTTTCTCCTGAAGGTTTTCAGGAGAGAATAAGTTACCCTCAGCTCAATAATTTAGATGGTAAAGGACTTGATCGAATGTTTTTTAAGACCCCTTTCATATTATTCTCTGCAGCTTAATGATTTTAAGGATAAAAATATGGTAATGGAAGTACTCTTACTAGAATGAAGTGTTATCTTATTGGAACTTGCATTTGGAAGAGTAACTGTTCCTGCTGCTAGGAACTGAGGCTCATCAGAAATTGTAACCTCATCGTTGGTGTGCAGACCTTGGGAGAGCAGCATCCAGCTCCCTTTTGTGGATCTAGATAGAAAAGAGTCCCAGTTTGTTTAAAGATGAATAAACTAATTTATTTATTTTTTTAAAATCCAGCCTTGGCAAATGCAACATTATGTGTCCTTGAGCCTATTATGTCTGTGGAGGTTATAGCCCCAAATGAATTTCAGGGATCGGTGATTGCAGGAATTAACCGGCGCCATGGGGTAATCACCGGACAAGATGGAATTGAGGACTATTTCACGTTATATGCAGACGTAAGTACTGTTCTCACTGACAATCTTGCTCTTATTAACCACAAGAGGGAATCAGAGTTAGCTTTAGTTTTTGGAGATTGTAGAGCAAGTCGACACATTGCCCTGGCTGTTTGAGTGTTGGATTTGTGTCTCATGTATGTGTGGCAATTTCTATAATTTGCTGTTAGAACAACTCTTAAGTGCAAAAGCTAAAAATAAGATTCATTTCATTGAGGCCTTTTGTGAATATGTCATTTTCTTAGATTTATAGTTAACCTTTCTTTCTCTTTATAGCTTTATTTGCGTAACTGCTTTATTATGTTCTTTCTCATTTATTGGGAAATATTTCATTGCTTTGCTAAAATGTACCTTGCTTGACTTAAATCTTGGGAGCAAGGGTTTATCACATTATAGAAAGCCTCCTAGAAGATACAGCTATCAGCGTATCACTGAAGTGTCCAAAGGAAGGTTGTATTAACGTTTTCACAGAAGAAACACTTCTGAATGCCTGAGCTGCAGCCAGAGAAGTGGGTGGGGATGAGGGAAGGCTGTCGGTGGCCGCCACTCTGAAACTCAAAGATCTGCTTTCCACTTGTGACTGTCAAATGAAATTATTTTCAAATAAGGTCTCTACTTTCAGTAAAACAAAAATGTTTCTCTTTGGCTGTTAATTCTTTTAAGCCAGAGTACTTAGTAGAAATGTGAGTCTAAAGGAATTAAGTGGCTAAGGCTTTTCTGTTTTTCTCAAATATTCTTCCATAAGCAATGCTGAAATGTCACTGCTTGTTTTCAGGTCCCTCTAAATGATATGTTTGGTTATTCCACTGAACTTAGGTCATGCACAGAGGTAAGCAAGCATCTAAACTTTACTTCTTGCCCTTCAAGAGACCACCCTACAAAATGATCAAATTTATGAAATCTTCTCTTTGCATGACTTTGATAGTTGTTAAAAAAAAAGAAAGAAAGAAAATCTCTCCTTTTTTTTTACACTCCTAGGGAAAGGGAGAATACACAATGGAGTACTGCAGATATCAGCCGTGTTCACCGTCCACACAAGAAGGCCTCGTTAATAAGTATTTGGAAGCTACAGGTCAACTTCCTGTAAAAAAGGAAAAGCCAAGAACTAACCTTTCTCACTTTAAGTTGACAAACTGAATCTGCAAGGTTTAGATACTTTAACGGATTCCAGCGGAATGGATTCAAGCTGAAATAAATTTTAGAAGCCCTTCCCTGTTTTGTTTAGGAGCTTCTATTATATTCAAAGATAATTCTATGTATATCTCAACTCGATTGGTTTTATGGTTCATTGAAAAACCTCATAAAATATGATTATTACTGAAATATATTTAATATTTATCTAAGGGGAGAAGAGACTAATTTCAGTTATACTTCTGAGCTTAGAATATATGTAAACTTCCATTCCAAAATTTTTATCATAAGAATTTTCAACATATAGAAAAGCTGAAACAAACAGTATAAATAACAGCATGTATCTTCTATCTAGACTCAACAACGAACAATCCTGTTAACAATTTGTTTATCAGATAGTAATTTGTTTTGTCATATTTGCTTTATCTGTTTGTCTATCATTTGCCTACCTATCTCTTTATTTAAAAATTTTTTTTAATTATTGTTTTGCTGAATACTTGAAAGTGAATTGCATAAATCATGATGCTTCTTGGAGTGTCCTTTTTTTTTTTTGTGCTGAGGAAGATTTGCCCTGAGCTAGCATCCATGCCAGTCTTCCTCTATTTTGTATGTGGATTGCCACCACAGCATGGCTGCTGACAAGTGATGTAGGTCTGCACCCGGGAACTGAACCCAGGCCACCAGAGTGGAGCCACCAGACTTAACCGCTAGGTCACCGGGCTGGCCCTGGAGTGTCATCTTTTAATGAGCAGCCTTTTTTGTTCAAGTGGATTCCATGTGTTCTTAATGGAGAATGTTTTTCAGATTCTTCATTGGGATAGTAAAATGCTAGCTAAATTTCTAGCTGTTTTATATATAACCAACTGCTTCAATTTGTGACTTGTCCAAATTTATAACTGCCTTCCTTGCAGACCTGTGAAACGAAGAACAGCCCCTTGCGCATGCTCTTCTTGTCTCTGTTCTTCTGAATGTCTCTGCGGCTCTAAAAAGAAAATAGAGTTTAAAGAGTTGCTGACCAGTCAGTTTCATTCACGTAGTAAATTCTAGTTGAATTTGAGTCTGTTGGAATTTATCATATATTGTATTCATGGAGAGTGTGAAAGAACAAATGTTAAGCTTTTTTTCCTAGAATGAGGTGGACTTTCCCAGGTACTTTTACCATGCTGTTCCGAATTGCTTCATCCAAAAAAATCATCTGATGTGATAGATAACATCCTAGTCCTTTCTCTTGTGGACAGTAGAAATAAAATAACTTTTAAATTCCTTTGTTTTTCTTGACTTATAGATTTGGCTTTA